CCCCTGATATATTTGGGAAAAACCTTTTATATTTTATCCAGAAATATGCCATCATGTTATTTGTGCTTTTTTCATAAAACACAGGAATTCACTTCACATGACACAGAGTAATCTTTCTTCTCGCAGAACAAATCCATTAACAGGAGTATTGGGTACGTAGTGTACTATATTGTGCAAGTCAGAGGGAAAATATGAAGAAGTAAAATATTTGGATAGTAACAGCTTTCATGGACTTTACAGTGGATTTAAAAAACTCACAATTTTTTTCCACCACAACAAATTGGATAAATTCATTTTATTATATTCAAACAATGCTATACTAGACAATAAAAAAGGAAGAAACCACAGACGCAAGATGCAACTTGGATGAATCTCTCAGACATAATAATGAAGGAAAAAAGCCAGACACAAAAGACCATTTTCTACATGATTTCATTTATAAGAAGTTCAAAAACAAGAGAAAGTAATTCTAGCTGTTAGAATGGTGATTACTGGTGCTGGGTTGGCGATAGTGTGGGTGGACATGGGAAGGGTACTGCCTGTGAAAGAACAGAAGAGAACTTTGTAGAGTGTTCAAAGTATTTTACAACTTGATCTGGAATTTGTCCACAAAAATATTTTGTAGAAGTGACGATTCCCTGGGCTCCTATTTAAGATTGTACACATTTTATGTCTTCATAATAACAATCACCATTACCAACACTGCCATAGTACATTTGAATCTCAGCAGTCATATCGTAGGCCAGGCTCACATATAGAAAATTCTATTTTTAAGCCAGTAGTTTGGAATGCAATAAAACTATCTTCTCCATTTTATTTTTCTTTCAACTCTCCCTTCATACTTTCATAGACAATTGATTTCATAGAAAGTATAGTGTTTTGTTTTGTTTTTCCTGACTGCCATTACATTGTGCATAGGTTCAATCCTTGGGCAATTTTCTTTATCATCATTTTCTTTGGATCTCAGTGCCTCCAGCAAGTTGTTTTAGTTTCTCAGCATCCAGTGGAACAAGACACAAGGGTTGGGAGGGATACCCTGGGGGCAAGGCAGCTCATGTCAGGCCTGTCAGTGAGCCACCCACTTATCAAAGGTATATATCTCTAATTAAGACAAATTGGACAAATGGGCCAGTGGTGACCTCTTCATAGCGAAAGGACAGCACGTAAAGGACTAGGTGGAAGCTGTGACTAATGAGTCCCTCTAAATCGGGACAAGAGATGTACTGCTCATCCTCTAAGTAGGATACAATGTGGTCTTTTGCCAATACAGCCCAGACTTTTGACCCAAGAGTCCTTGTTGTCATCATCTTTTCCTATTCTGCAAATAATAACAAATAAGGCTTTGAAATAAGGAGCTGGTTGCACTGGTAAATGCTTTCACCCTGCTCCCTTGGTCAGGTTTCTCTGTGCTGGGACATAATACCTGACGCCCACAATTTAAAGGAGGACAGGTTTATTTTGGTTTATGTTTCAGAAATTCCAGTTCATGTTTGGCAGGCTTAAACACAGAAACAGCATGGCCCAGAGCCTGGGCAGAGGAAAGCTGCTCAGTTTATGGTGTCCAGGAAGCAGAGAGTGAGGGAGGAATGGGGAGGGAGATAAACTCTTCTAGGCTACACCCTAGTGACCCCTCTCTTCCGATCAGCCCAGACCTCCTAAAAGCAAGTCAGGCAAAACCCCCCATAATCCAGTCACCTTCAAAAGCTCCACCTATAAGCACATGTGGCCGTGGGGGACATGTAGGTATAAGCCATAACATTCATCTAAGAAGATGTTGCCAGGGAACTGGTAACTGGAGTTTGCAGCTGAACACAAAGAGCTGTTCAGGAATCTGTATTCTAGAGAAAGCTTCATAATTGCATCCAGGAAGCTTCCTACAGCAGGAACAGCTCCATTTTACCTGCCTTTCACCTGGCTGCTTTCTCCATGCATCCCATGGACACTTTGAAAGGCTGCTGGGCTTAACTTTTGGGGGGATGCCACATCTGACAGGGTAGTCTATCTGGCATGTGAGCTCCAGCACTGAGTTACTGTGGAACTTAGAAAAAAAGGGGGGGGGGGCAGAACCCAATGGTGGAGTTGCAGGAGGACCTTCTTAAGGGCTTCCTTGAGTTTTCTATGGGAGACAGCTGGCATTAGACACTTGCTAGAGAGCTGAGCCAACCTCCTGTCACAGAGGGGACCATTTACTCCTTTCCTTGTCCTTAAAGAGTCTGCCCCTGCTCCTTCCATGAGCCCAATTCTGCTCAGTCCTTGCCTTGCTCGGCCGCTCTGGCCTCCTTTCTCTTACTTGAATGTGCCAAGCACATTCTTGTCTTGGAGCATTTGCTGTTCCCTCTGCTGGAAACACTGCTTCCTGGATATTTGCATCTCTCTCTTCATTTGAGTTCCACTAAATTGTCATGTCCTTAGAGAGGCCCTATCCAAAGTAGCAGCCCACCATCCCACATCAGGAAGCCTTCTCCTTCTTCCTATGGCTCTCAGCTCTACTCTGTGTTTCGTGTTTCAAATAAGCCATTGCCTATCTCCTCTGACAGTACCTAAGCTTCACAGGGGCAGTGGTTTTGTCTTTAGTTTATCTTAGTGTCCTGGGCAGAAAATGGTGCCCACCTCATTAAAGATTTCAAACATATTTACTAAATGAATGACTAAGATCTCATTAAAGGGAGGGAAAGAGGCCTTCACTGATCTTTATATTCCACTAAGTAGATATTCATTTATTAACTCAATATTAGATCAAAGACCTAACATAACAAAAGATTTCTGTGATTTGGCTTACCAATATATAAAATGTGAGGCTTACCCCAACAAGCTTTTCATGAACTCTAAGGTAAAGGGTTAGTTTTGTGGAAGCTGACGCATGTGGTAGATTTTTTAAAAGATCCTTCTATTTTGCAACTGCTCCCATCAAAGGTGAAGTTTATTTTTCCATGCTTTGAAACTGGACATGGGCATGTGGCTTTCTTTGACCAACAAAATATGAAGGTAAGAAATGATATTTTTAACTGTGACTTGTCCTTTTTGCTGCTGGGAAACATAATCTCACCATATGAAGTAGCCATATAAAAACACTGTCATGCTGGCCCTCAAGTTGAGGCTCCAAGCTACATTTGTGGATTCATGAGTGGGCCCAGGTGAAACAGAAACAGAACTGCTTAATTGATTCCAGCCCAAATTGCTAATTCACAGAACTATGAGCTAATTGATAACTGTTTTTTGAAGCTACTAAGCTACTGAATTTTTGGTGTGTTTCTTACACAACGAAGACTAACTGATTCAGTATGCCATATGTACTAAGCCAGGTTTTACCACTAAAAGCTATAAAGACATAGATGACAGCTTCCAGCTTCTCTGTCTACAAGGAAACATAGGAACATACAAAAGGAAGCCCAAAGAGCTGGGTTAGAACCTAGCTACACTATTTACTGGTCATGGAACCTGGGGGAATTGCTTAGCCTTTCTGAACCTCAATTTTCTCATATATAAAATAGAGAATAGGGCTAAACTACTACTGCCTTTCATCTCTTGCTACTCGAAGTTTCATCTAAAGCCCAGCGGCATCAGCATGATATATGGAGACTTGTCAGAAGTGGAGAATCTCAGGCTCTAACTGCTGAATCAAGTCTGCACTTTAACAAGATGCCATGCAATCTGTGAGTCCACTCCAGCGTGAGAAGCACTGACTTATCACCCTGACAAGGATCACAACCACCATCTCTCACAGACCCCTGCAGAGTAAAGAATAGGTTTTCTCTGGGATCTGTTTTTGCTTTCCAATCTTCTGGGGAAACTTGATCTAGTATATTTTTCTTGGCTTCCTCAAAGGCAGACCGGCTCAGCTGCTGAGGAGCTGTTTTTCAGAGCACAGCTAAAACCCTAGCTTAGTAGTGGTCAGTGGGCCCTCAGGCCCCTCCTGCTTAAGGATGCCCAGCCGGTAACGTTTGATGATGATCACCCTGTCTTAGCCCTGCCTGGAAGAGACCAGGCAGTGAGCCTTTTGCTGCTCCAACCCCTAGGAACCTTGACCAGTGCTTGCACGCACATCCCCCTCCCGCAATTCTTAAGCTACCCGCGCAGGCAGGCTCTTTGCTTCCTCCTGACCAGCCTGACCTGTTCAGGCGGCTGAGCATGCCCAGTTCATCTGCGAGGGTGGCCCCAGTCCCCAATGCGCAGGTGCCACGTCTCCGGGTTTTGGTGGCCGCCGGCCTGGAGAAGGAGGCGGCAGAGCGCTTGGGGAGGAGGGAGCCCTCTGGGAGTCCTGGAGCAGCTCTCCGAGGGTCCACACAAAGGGCGAAGATACACCAAACCCCGTTAGGGCCTGAGTGTGAGTGTGACTCCGAGGCAGCTGGGGTCCGGTGTAGGGCGAGGAAGAGGTGGAAATTGGCTGGAGCAGCCCTCAGCGTCTTAGAGACCAAGATTATTGGGGGGCCGGGGGGTATGTTTCAGGTTGCGCTTGGGGGAAGACTTTTGGGAATCACTTTTTCTTTCGGTGGCTCAGGGAAGCCTTGATTAAGAGAGATCCTAGTAGTACTTGCTTTGGAAGATTGTTTTACGGATTAAATGAATAAAAAGCATTTAGAACAGTGCCTGGAGCAGTGTTTATTAAACAAAATAGAAACAAATCACCCACCCGCTGGCCCTCATCCGGAACAGCGGGTCTGGGCATTTTCCTTCAGTCCTGACCCCTTGGCCCACTGCCAGCCCCCCGTCTGAGGAGGGATCCTCCACTCCCAGTCTAGCGAGCAAGTATGCACCCCGACCCTCAGGCACCGGGCAGGTGCTGCGGGGGGCCGCCGGTGGGACCCCAGGAGCGCGCGGCTGGGCGGCCCATTCGACGCCCCACCCACCTCCAGCGCGGCCCGCCTCGGCCCCGGCCGGCCCGGCCCGGCCCGCCTGGCCCTCCTGGCCCGCCCGGCGCCCCCTCCCCGCCCTGCGGCTCCCGGCAGCCGGAGGCCGGCCCGGCCCTTGCCCACCCCCAGCCCAGCCGGGCGCGCCGCACTGGGCATGCTCCGTAGCCCTGGCAGGTTGGGGCTGCGAGGCAGGCGACAGCTCGGGCTCCGGAGCCGGGCAGCGAGAGCAAGGAGGGATACTCGGGGGCCAGGGAGGAGGAGCGGCGGGCCCGGGGCCGGGGCGCGCAGAGCCCGGCTGGCTGCGTATCGGGCCGGCGCTGCCCCGTGGGCTCCGGGAGGCTACTGCGGGGACCCCCCGCCTGGGGAGGAGGTAAGGACCTCGCTGCTGGGAGGCGGGAGGCCGGGCGGGGGGCGGAGGCAGGCGGAGGGCGGGGCTGGGCGCCGGAGGGGCTCAGCGGCTCTCTCGATGGCGGGGAGGGGGTTGGTGGCGCTGGGAGCAATAAGTGAGCTTCACGGCCAACAAGAGCTCGCACACGCGCGCGCACACACTGGCTCTCCAGGCAGCGGGCCGCGGCCGCATCCCGGCGGCAGCTCCAGGCAAAGTGACAGGTAGGAAAAGGCATTCCGGATCGCGCCCGAGGATGCTCCCGTGCGCCCCGGCCCGTGGGCTGGGTTCGCTCTCGGCGGGTGCGTCCGGGACGCGCGCGCGCACCCGGATGCCCTGCCGGGGACTCGGTGCAGGTGCGGGGTGCCAGGCTCCCTGCGCGCGCGGAAGGCAGGGGACCCCGGCGCCACCCCCTTCCCTTGTAGTCATCGCCTGCTGGGTTTCCTCAGACCATCCAGACATTCACCCACTTTGGGGCTCGGAATAGCTTGGCTCGACGTGTATATGATTATTTTGGTTGGAAATAGTTGGCGCCGTGCAACGCATGTAAATGTGTACGCGAGTGAATATTCTTAACCTCTCCCGGGGAAATCGGAAACGATGGACCATTTCCACTTAAAACAACATTGATAGCCTTGGCATTCCTTGGGGACAGTATTTGGGCCTTCTAAAAGCATATAGATGAAGAAGAATAAAGGTTGCCTTAAATTTACAATTTTAAAGTTGCTTTTTTCCTTAACCAATTAGATCCCGTCTTTATAGTACAGTACTTCTGAGCGTAGACTTTGTAGACAACTGAGCAGAAGTATGAAAATGTGAAATTCTCCAGTTTCCAAGTGTGTCTAAGTGCAGCCTTATCTAGAATTTAGAAACTATCGTTTTTCTAGAAACAAAGGTAAAATGCCTGTTATATTTCCATCGATATGCATGTAGCAGAGAAATGACTTTTTAAAAAACTCCTGTACTGATTCAAGCTCTTGTTGTAAAGCACAGTGTTTGAGATTTAATTTTCGGCAAAGCATTCATGGATGGTCACTATATATATATATATATATATATTAATCGTGAATGCGATAGTCTGTAAATTTAACTTACAGATATGTGGAGATAGCTGTTTAACAATTTTGTTGGATTAGCAATACTGTCGCCCAAACAGACAGCTATAATAACGTCTCAAAACGGAATTTACATTTTCTCTTTCAAGAGAAATCAGATTCATAAAGTATGCATGACCAAGAAAAGCAACTGGTGACTTTACCTGGGCATTCTCCAAAGAGGCTAAGAAAGTGTCAGAGGACACTCTGCTCTTTAAATAGAATTGCATGTTGTGCATAAAAATTTAACTTTTAAAAAAATTGTTTATGCCACCTGCTGCGTAAGCACAAGGACCCAAGTTCGATTCCCGGTACCAAAACAAAACAAAACAAAACAAAAAACAAAATTGTTTACAAGATTGTTGGTTTCAAAACTATGTGGTTGAACTGAGAACCTAATATTTTGTATTCTTCAAACTTCAGTGGCCTAAGTTACAGAATCATACAGAAAATCAAAAATCTAACCCAGCAGGAGTGTGTGGTGTAATCCCTGAATATCTGTGTTATGTAATCTAGAATGCTGTTTTTCATAGGACTGTCTTGCATGGTTTTCAGCTGGTGTATTGCTCTATTATGTCATCCTTTTAACTGTAGAAGTTTAACAAATGACTGCTGTCTTGAGAGAACACCTGTTTTCATAAAAATTCACTTTTTAAATGGAATAGCATTTTGATTAGCATTTTTGTGTAGATGAGACTTTTGCTGCTATAACTGGTAACCTTTTGAAGGTAATGTATTAAAACATATCTCAAGGCATCGTATATTAGATAACTGATTATGGTTCCCTCCAATGATATTATTCAGCCATCAGAATTTAGTTTTGATTTAGCTTTGATGATATCACTACTCAGCTCTGACTTAATCGGAGTGGAAATGCTGTTCTACAAGTAACTGTCAAAACAGAAATTCAAAGATTTCATTTGATCACTAGGTGCACATTTACATCTGTTGGAATAATTGTACCTTTATTTTTACAAATGCACACCCATGCAGAAGAGCTTTGCTCTAAAATACGCTTTTGGAAGTTTTATATTTGTGTGCCTGAAAATATGAGTGATGTTAAACTACCCACATGATCTGGAACCCTGGGCAGTGTGTTTTTGTCTTATGAAATAGTGAAATAGGAGAGTTTAAAAAGTGATAAGGGTTACCAAAAAGCTTTTGCAGAATGGATTTTTAGGTCTGTGTCACCTTTGAAATATTTTGTCCCCAGCAGAGACCAGACTTTTCCAAGAACATATCCAACCTCCCTTTAGGTTAATGTATACTGCTGATTTTGGCAACAGGGGATAGTTTTCTTTGGCAATCTCAGTGAATGTGGCATTTTCCTAGGATTCTCCTCTGTCTGTTTTAGGGTTTGATCCATTAAGAATAGAGATGATGGAAAAAAAAAAAAGAATTGAGATGATGACTAACTGCTTGCCTTACATGCGTCTTCTATTCAGCCATGCGAGTGAAATTGAGATGGCCCTGAGCTGTGGCACTGCTGTACTGTTTCAGCTGAACTCATCACAGGGCCGTGCTAATTTGTGAAAGGTCCTGTTGTAAGGGAAGTTAGCTTCTGTGTTTAGGGTATTCGCATCTCCAGTTTTTCGTATGCAGCTGGAGAGCTCAAATATCAGAATGAATGAACAATTTTTGCAGATTATTTGCTAAAAGTTAGCAATTTGCTGTCACCTTTGATCTTTTAATTTTAAAAATTTGCGCTGAGATTCAGTTGCATCTTTTTGGGATCCGAACACCTAGGGAATATAATCATGGGAAGGAAAGAGTATAGGTATTTCTTGTGTTTTCCACAAATGTCCTTAATAGTGAATGCAGATATTTTTGCAGAAGCACACATATTCTTTGAAATGTAAACTTATTTAGCAAATTGGGATCAAATTATTGTCATTTATGACCCCCTTCTAAAGTCAGGATGAACCAGATGTTTATTAGCACTGATGATGCAAGTTTTTAATAAACCATCTTATCACTGTGAGTCCTTCTAAAATCAAGAACTTGTGTGTTTACTATGTGGAATGAGGTCAAGGACTGATGGAAACACTTTAATGAAGTTGGTATTTCATGTCCAGACTGAAATTTCTAAAATAGTTTCTTTTCACTTTATAATATGAACTTGTAGGCATATTCATGTTTGTCAGAAAGACTAATCCACCTATTGTGAAATAAATATGGCTTTCCAGCCCTGATGGGCATCAGCAGTGGCTGTCTGATTTTGCTGTTGGTGTTTAAATGTTAGCTGTGATTGCAGGTATACTGTTAATTCTCAGGGCTGTCCATTTCACAGTCTCCTCTTTCTGTCACACACAGGAAATAGTATAACCTTGCTTGTATTCCTTAGTGTTTGTTTTTCTGTTTAATAGTTTTTCTTTTGATAAAGACTCCCTCTCTAAAATAGAAATACTTTCAAGTTGTAATATTATTTATCCAGCTATTCCTTAGAACGATATAAAGGTTTTGCCGGTTACAGGCTGTGATTCTTTAGTTTACCAAATATGAAAGCGGGTGTACTTAGCCCACTGTGGAGATAGACCCAGGAAATAATAGATTACTGAGTGGGTGAGTCAGAAGTTTGCATGATCTTTGTTAGAATTAAGCCTGCTGTCAAAAAATCACCCCACAGTTTCACTGGATTGCAACAACCACCTCCATACTCCACTTTCTAAAACCTGGCTGGATGCTCAGGCCTTTGGATTCTTTTGCTGTGCTGAAGGTATCTCCCAAGTTCCTAGAGGAGATGAAAGTAAAATGCCCTACCTGTTAAATCTCAGCTAGGAGAACATTATGTTCAAGGGAATGAATGACCGGCTGAATTTTGTTTTCCCTTCTCTCTACTTTCTCTTTCCTGTACTCTATGGAATCAAAGGAGTTGCAAGGGTCATAAATCAGGAAGTTTTTCTCTGAAGACTTCTCTGTCTACTATGTATAAAACCTTCAATGAGGATGTCATACCCCATGTGACCGCAAGATAGTGTTATCTTCTCCCCCTGACTTGGAGTTTCTTTCACAGTCCTCCTGTGATCCTTTGGGAAACTGCACCTGTAGAGACTGAAACACCCTTGGGCCAGGCATCATTGCTTGAGAATACATTACCCTTCTCAAGGTCCTTTTCCTCCAGAACAATTAGAAGATGACTGTGGCTTTCTTGACTATATAGGAATTTGAAGTAGCCATTTCCTTAGAAACAAGAAAACAATTAACTTACATTAATTACGAGGAGCTCTTCTGGAAGGACACCACAGACCACTCATTTTACATTTACCATCTCCCTTTCTCTCCAAAATCAGGAATTTCTCTCCTCAGGTCCATCCCACCAAATTCTGTGGATGTGCTTTAGTGGGTCCATAAATACAGCTGGCAAATTTTACCTCCAGGTAAGAATTAGGGCAAGAGCCACTTCTAGACCTCGACATTTAATAGGTTGAAAAGAAACACATGTATTGCTATGCAAGTTTAAGAATTATTACCTTGCTTTGTTTATTTCAATATGATTAGTTTTTATTGCACTTTTAATTATTTAACATCATGTATTAAAATATGGTGGGAGGGATTTAGAAGATTCACCAGGTTGCAAACTGTGTCCGTGACCCGTAGAAGGTACAAAACATCTCCTCTAGAAAAACTCTCTTTTGAAGCAGCTGGTGAGTGGCTGGGGGATGCTGCTATGGTTGCTTTTAGAAGTGTAAAGTTGCTGAGACCTCCAGGCATTTGGGTCTGACAGACCTGAGGTTGAATCCTGACAATGTCCTGTGATCCTGGGCATCTGCTCACAACATCAGTGCTTGTCATTAAAAGGTGAGAATAACCCTATGGACTAATGTGCCCACTATTATGTGCTGCCCTGTGAATGACTTAGGGTACCATGCCACTGCTGCTGCTGCTCCTCCT